GGAAGACAGAACACTGTTTGTGAAGGTACAGAACTCTGCGGAAAAAAAACAAGCACATTTGGAAGGGGGTGGTGAGTAATTCTGAAACATTGCAACAGATACAGCAGGAAAAAATGGATTGGAGCCAAGTTGCACAGGGCTTTAGCCCAATTTGGTAGTGAGAAGGGGCAATGGAAAATTTTACTAAAGAGATGTCGGGATCAAGTCAGGGGGAGGTTAACTCTAGGCAAAATAAGCAGTTAGAAGGTGAGTGAAGAGGCTAGACAAGAGATACCAAGGACTTGGAGTGCAGGAGATTGCATTATTGGCCCTAGTTCTTTATCCTGCCCTGTCTCCTGCTCTCTGCCTTATGACTCCGTAGTTACTCCCACTAAGTGGGTGAAGTGTGCTTCTCCACTCTTTGACTTTGGATTAGACCACATGCCTAGCTTGGCCAACAGAAAGAGACAAGAGTGACGTGTATTTCGGCTTGCCTTGTTGTGTTGCTGACACTTCCACGAGAAGAATATGCTCTGGCCGGCCCACTGGTGTCAGAAAGGAGGATGAGGTACACGGAGCAGAGCCACCCTCGCTGAGCCCGCCTACATCAGCCAACTTCAGACACCCAAAAATACACGGTACAAGCCATCCAGCTAAGCTTGGTCTAGATCAGTTGACCCAAGACATGGGAAATAATAAATGACTGTGGGTTTAAGCCATCGTTTGCGGATGGTTGTTACACAGCAATATTAGAGATTCAGGCAGAGTCAGTGGGTGAGGCACAGATCCAGAGGCTATTTAGGAGGCACATGTGACAGGCCGTGGAGCCCACAGGCCTGGGGATGGGGAGCAGGAAAATCAGGAGAGAAGTTATCCTTGATGTTTCCAGCTTGAACAACTGTTCTGACGTTGATGCTCAACTGAGCTAGGAACTAGGGGAAGAAGGGCAGGTTTGTGGGGAGTTCCTTGGCCATGTTGGCTTGCGATGCCCGAATGACTTCCAGAAGAGATGCCCTGTTGGCAAATGGACCCGCGTGTTGCTGAGGTGATGGGCTGAGTTTAAGGATGGCCCGTTAACTTTAGACCATATTCTTGCTTTTATGCGGTTATCTCATAAGTGTGTGCCCCCGT